CCGCCGGCAGACTGCTCATCCACAGCTGGCAGACACACCTCTGCCGGTGTGACCAACCTGCATGCCTGAGGGGCCTGCTGTCCAAGCAGGGGACGTTCAACGCCCAGCTGTGCTCACATTCTCTGTAGGTGTGTGCAGTGCGCGGAACATGGACTTGGAGCCCAGCTTCCTGGGTGTGACGCCAAGTTACTTCTCAAAGCTTCAGTGTCCATATGTGTCGAGTAAGGACAGTGGTTATACGGACTTTATAGGTTTTCTGTGTGTGTTTGTTTTTTGGTGTGGGTTTTGTTGTTGTTGTTGTTTGAGCATTAAATGAGTTAACACATATAACGTGCTTAAAATACTGCTTGGCACACATTAGGTTGAGCCATGTGCTATGACCCATGTCTAGGTGTTTGACCTAAAATAGCAGTGGTTTCGTGTGCTCTGACCTAACAGTAGGCACCTAGTATGATTGCTTACTGCAGGGCAGACATATAGCCTCTGATGACAGCCAGCCACAACTTCCTTTTACTTTGCTCGTGATACTGAGGGACAAGCTTTTTCTCACCCTACGGAATCCGGAAAGCAAGTAGGGGTGCTCTATACCCAGAGGGGAGCAGGCAGACATCTGCTCATGGCTTCTGCTCCCCTTCCTGGCCGGCATGCAGCCGCCCTCAGCAGTGGCTGGCAGTTCCTTCCACTGCTCAGAGCAAGGGGGCGCTGTCCCAGGCCACGGCCAGTGTCCTGGTCCCTGGCAGTTGGGAGGTCATGTGAGGGGCTCTCGCCTGCATGACCAGAACCTGGTTAAGATCAGGTGGTGCCCACCTGTTAGGTGTGGGAGGTAGTCCTCAGCAGCTGTGGTTCTCTCTGCCCAGGAGCTGGAGTGGCTGCTGGAGATCAACCGACTCACGCACCGGCTGCTGTGCAAACACATGACCCTGGACAGCTTCGACGCCATGTTCCGGGAGGCCAACCACAATGTGTCCGCCCCCTATGGCCGCATCACCCTGCACGTCTTCTGGGAGCTGAACTTCGACTTCCTCCCCAACTACTGCTACAATGGATCCACCAACCGGTAAGGGAGTCCCTGTGCACAGGGGGCTGTGGCGGGGTGGGGCCGGGGAGCAGCCAGCAGCCTCCTCCAAAGTGGGCCCAGCACTGGGTCAGCCCGGCCCTGCAGCAGGCAACCCTCGGAGCCCCTCCGGGCTGCAGGCTCTGCTGGAGGCAAGCAGACACCTCCCTGCCCCTTGGGGCCTTCAGGCGAGGTCAGTGAGCCACACGAGTGAGCCGGGGAGTGATCACACGATGGATGCCCTGTGATAAGCAGGGCACTGGAGAAGGAAGAAAGGCCACGGAGCCCTGCGAGAGAAGGGCACCACCTGACCCAGTCTGGGAGGCGACCTCAGGAGAGGCTCCTCCTCTGAGCAAGTGTGCTTGATGCAAGGCGGTGGATGAGTGGGCATACATAAAACACAAGGCCGGAGAAAAGTATTCCAGGCAAAGTTCCTGAGGAGCCAGGGAGTTGGGAAGAGTGGAGCAGAGGGGATGGGAATGGCGTCAGGAAAGACACACAGGACGCAAGAGGAAGCAGGACCAGACTGTACTGCTTCGTAGGCTGCATTAGGGTCGAGCACTGTGAACCTTGGAAGAGTTTAAGGAAGAGGAGTGACATCAGATGGTACTTTTGTGAGGACATCCACATAGGAGCGCACGTGTGCAAACAGGTATACATGTGCAGAGCACACACAGGCATGACGAGGTGGAACATGTCACCTGCAGGTGCACACAGGCCTGGGCCCAGCACCAAGGTAGAAACAGGACCTAATCCCTTATCCCCATAGAGGTTCAAAACCTGGTGGAATTCCTAGCCGGTATTGCTCAGTGGTTAGAGTGTTGGCCTGTACACTGAAGGGTGGCGGGTTCGATTTCCAGTCAATGGCATGTGCCTGGGCTGCAGGTTTGGTCCCCAGCCCCAGTGGGATGCATGCGGAAGGCAACCAATAGATGTGTCTATTTCACATCAGTGTTTCTCTCTCTCCCTTCCTCCCTTCCACCCTCTCTAAAAATCAGTGGAAAAAAATATCTCTGGGTGAGGACTAACAAATGAACAAACCTGGTGGAAGAGATGAGAGGTATTCACGTACAAAACAAGCGCATAAGGATGAGCAAAACTGTTTTACAGGTCCTCGGGACACTCAAGACTGGCACTAAATAAGCGTGGCTTGAATGGATGGGAAGTCTGGGAGGAATGTACAGATGCTCCTGAACCCACGCACTTAGCAAGACAAATGTCCTGTTCTTTAAAGATTTGGGACCTTTAACGTTCTTGAGCGGAAGTCTGCAAACGCTGGCCCACGAGCCACACCTAGTTCCCAACTACTTTTGTACAAGCCCACGAGCTAAGAATGGTATTGACGTTCTTAAATGGTTAGGGAAGAAACCCAAAGCAGAATGATGATGTGGTGACAAGTGGAAATCATTTGCGATTCACAGAAACTCAGCCCCACACATTCATTTACTATTGTTTACGGGTGCTTTCATGCAAGCAGCAGAGCTGAGTGTTTGCGACAGAGACCATCTGGCCGGCAAAGCTGAAAACGTTTGCTGTCTGGGCCTTTACAGAAAGCGTTTGCAAAGCCCTGCTCTTGAGAAAGCAACCTGGGGGTGGAGAGGGGGAGCCCGAGAGAAGCCCATTTATTCTCAGGCCCAGCCCAGTGTCCTGAGCAGCCAGCCCCAAACCAAGCCTGGGAATCTGGGCTCCGGTTCTCCCGTCTACGGGGAGGAGGCAGTAGTTGAGGGGGAGTGTGCCAGAGGACTGCAGGCAGCCACCTAAGAAACGGTGTGGTTGCACCTGCTCAAGAAGGGCTCCCACGACATTAGTCCCCTGAAGAATATCAGGACCCAGCTAACTCCTGCCCATCTATTTTCTTCTCCTAGTTTTGTCCGAACTGCCATTCCTTTTACCCAAGAACCGCAAAGAGATAAACCCGCCAACGTCCAGCCTTATTACCTCTATGGGTCCAAGGTGAGTAGCCTTGCCCGGGCCCTGCTTCTAAGAAGGCTAGTGAGCAAAAGCCAATAGAAAAGTGTTCCCCGAATCAGCAATGCAAGGAGGGGAGATGATGAGGCAGCAGTGAGATCCAGGCGGAAACGACTGTGAGTTTATTCATCTTTATTTGTTCACAACTAGCAAGGAGGGGGGTGAACTCAGACCAGGGGCTGGATCCTGTGCGGAATCGTTTTGGGGACGTGAGCAGGGTAGTGCATGCACGGGGTTGCTCGTCTTGGTGTTGCACATCGCCTCCTCCTCCTCAGTCGATGCATTGTGATACCGTCCTGTGATTCCGGGGTTTGTGCTGGATAGATATACGGGATCTGCAGGCAGGCAGCAGTCGGGGAGGTGAAGCTCTGAAGGAAATCCAGTTGACTGGGGCTAGAGCTGAGAAACCCGTCTTCGGTCTCGGCTTCTTTGTTCACACATGCACATCCTGACGCTATTTAACTAAACATTGCCAGTGCAGCCTGCTCTAGACCTCAGTCCACTGCCAATCACTGAACAGACATTTATGAAGCACTTTCTGGAAGCCAGACGCTGGGCTAGATTTTACATGCTGGGGATATAATAGAGATTAAAACAGACATCGTCTCTGCCCACCTCAAGTTCCGGTTCCATCCGTGGTGCACGGGAACAATGTTCACGAAGTCTCCCATCCCCATGACGTATGTAGGAGATTCACTTCTTACCCTTGGCGGGGGGGGGGGGGGGGGGGATAACTAAAGAATGCCACTGAAACAGTGAAGCGTGTCAACAACAACACAAAAGAAACCAACATTTCTCTCTGTGATGGGATAAAAACGGCCACCCTTGACCCCACTTTCAGATGAACTTAGAAGAGGAACAGACTGGATAAACATAACGTTGTTAGGAAGGTAGTCCTCTGGGTCAGGGAGCCCTGGATTAGGAAGTGTGATGAACCAAGATGAGGTCCCACCAGTCGGGACCAAGGGTAGGGCTTAGAAGGTTTGGGGTGATGCTGGGAACATGCAGATACCTTCTCCAGAACAGCCAGTCTGGTCAAGGCAATGTTCTCAAATCAGGGGGCGCCTACAGGAGCATTGTACATAGTTCACAGACACCGTGTTAAACCCTAGTGACTCACAGTAAAAACACCTCCCTTTTCACTTCTCGTTCAAACCTTTTTGATTCTATGAAGGAGACAGACTTAATGTGGGCGCTCACAGGTCTTTAATACTTCTCCAGCACTTGCTAATCCCCCTTCTTCTCAACGAGTAGGAAGTAGGTCTTAAAACTGAAGTCTTTAGTAGGCGATAGTATCTAAGTCACACTTATTTTGTTTTCGGTCTAGTTATCCTTGTGTCTCTTCTCTCTCGGGAGGGTGTTGGCATTCATTTTTGGATTAATGTCCAGCTACCTTTTCAAATAAGTTTAAGTTTAAACACTGAGTCAATTTCAAAACATTTGCTAATAATAGTAAAGATGGTCTATGGCTGAAAAAAAAAAACGAAAATGATGTAGGAGGTGGTGTGTGACTGCCTGAACGCTGGAAAGCAGGCTTCGGGGGGGCCTTCTCGAGACTTCCCAAAGCACCCCCACCCCCGGCAGCCGCGGGGACAGCTTTCCTTGCCCTGGAAGCTGGCTGGCGGCAAAACTCGGGGCCCGTCTTCAACGCCACAATTTCCTCGAGGTGCTGTGTTTTATTTAAGTCATGCAAACTTCACGTTCTACATTATAACATGATCCTGTTCGTTTCCGTGTTAACGTCTTTAATGTCTAACCGCCTCCCAGTGGACACTCCTAAGGGCCCCGGTTCTCCCTTTGCACAGCAGGGGGCGTCCTCCAGCTGGAGAAGCTTCGCCACGGGGACTCAGCCCAGGTGCAGGGCGCGGACTGACGCTTGTGGGGAGACGCGGGGAGTCTACAGACACATTTTCATAAAGGAGCTACTACTGTGGGGGGGCTTTATGCTACAGGATGGGGGCTGCCTCCTCGCCACCCCTCACTCCTCAAAATGCGGCAGAATGGCAGGTGGGTCGCCACCCTCCCTCTGGAGGGCGCCCGCGTCTGGGGCATCCTGGTCGGCTTCTGCGTGGGCTTCGGCTTCGGCTTCTGGTTCCGCTCCAGCTCCGGAATCCTTGCGCGGCATTTCCACCAGGGGGAGCCCCTGCAGGTCTTCCTCCCTCTGACCAAGAGCCGGGGCCTCCTCCGGCCACCTCACCAGCCCATTGGCCTCCTCCATGTGGCCGGCTCTGTAAGACCAACGAGGCTCATGGCAACGGATGCACCAGAACTGGAGGCAGATGAAAGCTAAGACGGCCGTGAAGCAGGCCAGCAGAATGGCCATCAGGACCCACAGGGAGATTTGGGGGTCCACCAGGGAGCTCCCGGCAGCCAGTGGACTCTTATCCAGGGTGTGGAACATGGTGCAGTAGTGCCTGTAGGGGAAGGTGATCTTCTTGCAGCTGATGCACAGGAAATAGAAAGTGGAAGGGGCGAGGTGCTCCAGCACCACCGAGCTGATGGTGCGGGGCACCTTCTCCTCGTGGTGGAAGCTGTAGCGAAGATAGCCGGAGAAGATGCTGTTCCAGTTGGGCCTGTACATAATATGGTAATAGTCCTCCAGGCAGGGCTCCGAGGACGACCAGGAAATGATGGCTCCCGTGTACGAAACGTTCCCAACCTCGATGTTCATCCTGCTTCTGCAACCAGAGTCAGAGTGAAGAGTGACTTCCCCTTATTTAAGTACTTGTTTATGATCATCACAGCCACCGTTTATGGAGCATTCGAGAGGGAGACTAATATTGCCCCCATTTTCCAGACAAGAAAATGGAGGCCGAGAGGCGATGCTACTCAGCTAGAAATAGCTAAACAATGGCAGGGCAGACGTTCCAAGCAGGGCTCTGTCATGCCAACGCTGGGGGCCTTCAGACCTCAAAGAGATGGGCCCACATCCCCCAGCCTCATCCTGCCCTGGCTCAGATCCTTTAAATACAACACTGTTCCCAACCCCTGAAAAAAGAAGAGGAAAAAAGGCATCGAAAGGAGGGATCAGGACAACCTACGAGTCCCTGCATTGGTCACGACAGGTCTGTGACCTCCAAGCCAGGCCAGTGTTTCACCTAAACTTCCCTCCTGGGCCTCTTGTGCCTGCTCCAAGTGCTGGTAGCTCAGCCATCTAGAACATTCTGCCTCCCAGTTCTGTTGCCCGTGGCGAGAGATTTGTTTCGTCACGCGTTGGCAGCTGCGTCCTCCCCAAAGCCTCCTCTCTGGTTTTGTTTGTTTTTCCCAAAGCCAAAGGTACCCAGGAGATGCGTTTCAGAGGTCAATACAATCTGCTCCTAACACCAGCAGAACTGCTCCTGTTGACTGCTGGTCCTGAGAATGTTAGTAATGGTAACAGCCACCAGCAGTTAGCAAGTCTGTGCTGGGTGGCAGGTCATGCTGGGTGTTCCACTTACAATCATAAATGTCTCTATTCGTCATCACACCCTCTGAGCTAGGTCCCCATTTTACAGATGAGCAATCTGAGGTGACACAGCTAATGAGAACCGGGCTCAAAGCCACTGAACTGCTGGGTTTTCAAAGGCAAGGCTGCTGGGCTCAGTAATAGAATGTTACTGCGAAACGAGATGCTGGTACTAAGCCCCGTTGCTGTTTTTCCAGACAAATCAAACGAGCTCTCTTCAGATTGCCAAGCCCTCTCGCTTTGGGAAGAAGGGAGCGCCATCTTCAAGCCTTTTCATGTCTTTTCAATGCGGCATATTTACCCTTCACTGCATGTCCCCCGATCTAAAATCCCGGGACAGCCATAATCGACCTGTGTATGTTGACGTATAGGTCTCCCCCAGCTCTGCTCTCTGCTCCTCCTCTCACATGAAATGCAGCAGGTTTTGTTTTAGATTGTAGTGCCATGGTAATAAACAACAACCGTCCATCAGATTTTCACCAGAATTGGGTAGTAAGCCAAACTGATTTCTGTCACAAGCTGCTCTCTCTGGTCCCTGCCTCCCTCTGACTTTGTTTCCATGTCTGTGTTCCTGGAGGAGGTGAACTGCAGAAAGATGCAGGGCGTTGAGGGATTTTTCTGTTCTCATTTTTCTTCTCTAAGGATGATAGTGAACTGAAATGCTCAGGAAGGGGAGTAGTTCCTTTCTATTTGGCTGGAAATTTCCTCCCAGAAAAACAGGGAATGAAAGGAGGGATGAGACAGGTATGCTCAGATCCCTCCAGGGGAGGTCATTGCAAAGGAGACTGAATATCTGTGCTCCCTCCGGAGGTCTCCTTCTCATACACAGCCTCCAGCCACCCCAACACCCCACACATCCCTGTAAATGCACTTCTGACCACAGTGGAAGAGCTGTATTCATTGCTAAGGAAACAGAGGCAACAGCCTTCGGAAAACCCTTCCATCAGGGATGGTCAGGAATCCGCTCTTTGTCATGCATCTTCTCTCCTGTTTGCTTCCCCTCTGCTGCTACTGTCTTTGCAGACTGAGCTCCCCACAGCAGACATTTTTAAGAGCTTTCTGTCCAGATGCTAGCAGCCTCCTCAGCTTTTAAGACCAAATCAGTCTCCCTTATTTATTTTTCTTCCTCTGCTTCTGTTTGGAAATTCCCCCCATTTGTAGCTATTCATATTCCCATCGCCTGGCCCTCCTCCAAGCTGAGTGTGAAAGAAAAAGCCATTTCTATTTCCAAGAAGAGCCATTTCTGTCCCTTACCTGATGCTTGCGAAGGATCTGGTTAGAGCGTAGCCTTCAGAGGCAGAGTGGACCCAAGCTAAAGGAATCTTGCCTTTTCCCCTCCTCTGCTCTGGGCTCTCCTGATGTCTCTCTCGCCAGCGTCTGAGTAATCCCACTGTCGCCCCCAACGCTCACACTATTCATTTCTTCAGATCGGCATCATTCACCATAGCAACCAGCAGGCATATGTACGCACGATGCTTTCAGGACTAGTCTGGAAAGGTTTTTTGCCCAGTGAGAGAAGCTCTTGTTTATTTGGCACACACACACACAAAAAAAAGGCAAACAATCTGCTACAAACTGATCCTCAGAGTGGTATTAATTTTTCTAAAACTAAATTTTCTAATTGACTCGTTATTTTTTTATTTTTTATTTTTTGCTCCATTTGGATCCTCTTTGGACAGTGGTTTTGAATGCAAAGATATCCTTCTCCTTTATCCCACAATTGAAACAGTAATTTTATCTCCATCCTAACCCACCCCACTCCCACCCCACCTCTGTGTTCTCCTCTGTATTCTGGTGTCCTGTGGCATTGCCTAGGTATATGACACTGGTCAAGAGTCTTTTATTCTCTGGGCTCAATTCCATCATCTGTGAGCTGTGGGCATGGGCACATGGAAGACATGGGTGCCGCCCCTGACCAGTCCTGAACCCGTCAGGCTGGCTACACCATCATGGGACTTGGACTGGGTCGGTTTGAGTGTCCCCGCAGAATTTAGCTCCACACAGAACCTCAGAATGTGACCTTATTTGGAAATAGGTTCTTCGTGGAATTAATTAGTTAAGGATCTCAAAATGATTTTACACTGGATTTAGAGGGAGTCCTAAATCCCGTGGCAGGTGTCTTTATAAGGAAAAGGAGAGGGAGATACACACCCAGACACGAAGGGAAGGAGCCGTGTAAAGACAGAGGCAGAGGCTGGAGCGATGCTGCCGTAAACCAAGGAGCTGGGAGGTGCAAGGAAATTTCTGCCCTAGAGCGTTCGGGGGGTGCATGGCCCTGCTGACACCTCGATTTTAGGCTCTGGCCTTCAGACTGTGGCCACCAGGTTTGTGGTCATTTGTTACAGCAACCCCAGGGACTAATAGACACTCCTGCCGTTAGGGCTTGGAAACACAGCCTCAGAGCCCTTCTTAACACAAGCCTCCCAGGAAACCGCTTATCAATCAATCATGTGGAGTTGACACCAGAAACAGAAACTGTTTACTATGCCTGGTTGGATGGTCCCCAGAGTTCCTTTTCTTTCGAGAACCCTGACTTTGCTTCCCGGCCCTTGTCCTTTTCCCACAACGGTCGATCTGCCTCTGAGGGCCCACCCATTCCGTTCCCCTCCACCTTAAAAGAATACCTTGCCGCCATTCGTTTGGGGAGATCACAGGGCTCGTCTGATATGGAGGCTAAGGTTCTGTCACCTTCAAGCCACCGAGCTTGAGGTCATCTGTTACAGCATCCTTAGCTCAGATCGATTGAAACCTGAATGATTTCACGCAAACTATATGTTGTTAACAGTCAGCTGTTTTGCTTCTCGGTTGTCAGTTGAAGTAGCTGAGTGCACTCCCCACAGGTCGCCTTGTGATTCACATCAGTGAGAACCAAAAAGTCACAAAGAGCTGCCTGGTGAGTCCCGGACCCTCCCCTGGCCAAAGGTGTCGGTGAGGCGTGGGGTCGGGCTGTCCGGGCTCTCTGGTTAGACATGCTCCGTGGCTTTCCTGTGGCTTCGGCGTCCCAGGGGCCTGTCACCGTCTGCTGTCACTCGTGCTGATGGTGGCTCCCCACAGAGCATGAAGGCGTCCTCTGCACGGAAAGGCCAGTGCGGAAGCTCGCTGGGGCCTTTTGAAAAGGTTATTTTGTAGGGAATGAAAATGCCAGTTAGGGAGCCTGTGCAGTGACGAGTGACGCGATAACTCAAGACTTTGCCACAGAAAGGGGGCATTTACTTTTCTTTATTGATTTTTCTTTATTGAGTTTTAGGGAGAGGGAGAGAATTCCACATCAATGAGAGAGAGCATTGACTGGCCGCCCCTGCACGCCCCCCTCGGGGGATCTGGCCCACAACCTGGGCACGTGTCCTGACCGGGAATCGAACCAGCGACCTCGTGCTGCATAGGTCAATGCTCAACCACTGAGCCACACCAGCCGGGCAAGGGGAATTTAATTTTAATGCTCCTAGATGCCATTCTCAACACTGGGCATTTTGTTTGAGAAGCTGAGACACTCCGAAAGCGAGGCCTTAGGAGTCCTGTGGCGTCACAGGCCCCAGAGGAGGGGTGGCGCAGGGGTGGAAACCGAGTCCTGACCGGGGCTCGTCGTCCTCTGGGCCCGCTCCGTTCACCAGCACCCAGAGGAGCCGGTGCAGCCCTCGCGGATGAGATACAGGATCTGAGGACACTTGCCCCGGAGGCCACGCCCAGCCACGCTTACTCTTCCTCACCTTCAGGGAGGCCCTTCGGGAGTGTGTCCAGGTTGTAGCCTCCGTGGGTGTCGGCAGGCTGTGTACACCTGGAGTAAGTCGCTGCCAGAGGAAATCAGCCAAGAGTGGGGTCCCTGTGCCCTTCCCGGAGATGGCAGTCAAAGGACCTCGTGAGGGCTTACCTGGGCCCCAAAGCTGATTGGCACTCAGGGTTCAGAGTGCAGGCCCTGAACCCCCCAGGCTGGGTTCACATCCTGCCTGTGGCCTTGGACAAATTCCCTCCCCTTTTATACCTTGGTGAACTCCTGTGTAAAACGCAAATATCAACACTACCTGCCTCGTCATGTCAGAGCAGTGAGAGGAGCCACGTCTGCAAAGTGCAGGATGGGGAGAGGAGTGAGGATTGTTAAGGCAGGTCAGTGGGGCCCGGCCGGTGTGACTCACTGGTTGAGCGTCAACCCTGCACCAAGAGGTCACAGTTCGATTCCCGGTCAGGGCACATGCCCAGGTTGTGGTCCCGATCCCCAGTGGGGGGCATGCAGGAGGCAGCCAGTTGATGTTCTCTCTTACCAATGTTTCTATCTCTCGCTCCCTCTCGCTTCCTCACTCTCTAAAAATCAATAAAGAAAAAAAGACTTAAAAAAAAAAGATGGGTCAGTGGGGCAGAGCCCCTTCCTGAGTTGATCGTAGCTTAGTTCAGAGGCTGTAATGGGCAAGGCTTATACCCTGCATGATGCTGACTTTCCTTTTTTTATATATAGTTTTTAAAAAAATTATATATGCTTCTTGTGCTTAAATTAATACAGAAAATTTCAAAGACGGCAGTCATACTCGCACAACTCTTAAATAACCATTGAAAACATTTTGGTACGTTTTATATGTGTTTTCTTCTTTTACCCCTGCAACAACTCTTTGAGGTAGGCTCTCATCACCATTGAGCAAAGGGAGAAACTGAGGCTAAGAGGGGTAAATCAACTTGACTGTGGTCACTCGGCGAGGCTGTGGCTGTGCTCTCCGCCTGGGTCTGATGGTCCCCAGAGCCGGAGCCCTCGCTGGTCTCTTGGATGAAGTGCCGTTCGACTCCCCCCGTTCATAGTCGGCAACAATGAACGGCGGCTCTTTGTCTCGTGGTTTGCTTCTCCTGAGACGTCGAGACAGGACTTCACAGCACAGCGGGGTCTAGAGTAATGGGAACAGGCAAGAAACTAAAAGGCTTCGGAGAGAACCCAACCACCTGAATGCAGTCCACTTAGAAGCAGGGGAAACATCCAACACATGTGGAGAAATCCTGTTAGCAAGTATTTTCTCTTCTGGAAGAGGAGTCTGGAGGCCAGGTACGCCTGCCTGAGCCTGAGAAATCTCACGTCAGGTTAGGGCTGATGTTAAAGACTGAGAAACCTTTAACGACTAATTCAGTCATCAAAATTAGTAGATGAGTCAAAACTTTAAAAATAGAGTCTTGAAAGTAAATTATATAGAATCAGTCCTATAACTGCCTTCCAAGTGAGGCAGATCGTGGCACAAGTCATTCTTTCAATTATACTAATGATTTCCTGATCATTTTTTACTCTTTAGAAAGTGCTGGCGTGGTCGTCACTAGCTATATGATGCCCCTAAGGCATGATTTGACCTCAGGGAAATGCATCATACTCCTGCAAAGCTTTTCTTAGTAAGTCATCCTTAGGGGCTTTGCTGCAGCAACCTGAGCACATTCCAGCTGGGTCCATACCTGGGCACCAGCTCTTGCCATGTGGCCTGACCAGGGGAGTCTGCCTCAGCCCCACTGATGACACCACCCACCATGTCACCCAGTTTGCTGCCGCCACCCCTATGCATGTCTTCACGGTCCCACTCCCAGGCTACGTTACTTTTCCACCATCCAGAGAATTCCATGATTTTGGCACCTGGTACGTATGGCAGAATATCATCTTGTGTTCCACTTTGGGCCAATTACCTCCCTTAGATTCCTCCTCTGCTAAATGGGGGTGGTTGCACCTGCCTCATCTGGTGTAGTAGGCTGATAATGGCCCCCAGAAATATCGGGTCCTAATCCCGGAACCTGGGAATGTGACTTGATTTGGAAAAAAAGACTTTGCAGAGGTGATTAAGTGAAGGATCTGACAACAGGAACATTATCCTGGGTTACCAGGATGGATCCTAAATGTCCTCACAGATGTCCTTGTAAGAGGGAGGTTACACACAGACAGAGACCAGATCTCAGCAGAGACCTTGGAAGATCGGAGTGATGCAGCCACAACCCAAGGAATGCTGGCTGCCACCAGAAGCTAGAATATGGAAGAGACGGATTCTTCTCTAGAGTCTCTGAAAGAACTGTGGCCCTGCTGACCTGATTTCAGCCCAGTGACGCTGATTTTGGATTCTGGATTCCCGAACTACGAGGGGGTCATTCCTGTTGTTGTGAGCTACCCGGTTGGTGGTCATTTGCTCCAGGAGCCCCAGGAATGAGTGCACCAGGGCAGTTAGGAAGGAATTATTAGATGAAAACATTCACCAACAGAGAAGCAGTATACACTTGTGTGACATCATTATTATATTAGATAATGAATAAAAGTGATGACATTGGTTTCCTCCAAAAATCTAGTGTGAGAGCATTGATATGGTACCTCTGAATAGGAGGGCTCGGTTTTGGTTCTCCCTCTTGCCTT